TGTGCAGATGGGCCAGGGGTCTCCAGCCTCGAACTTATCCCCACCCCTAAGATTAACACGCAAAAAGGCGATGACAATCTTAGGGATGTACCCTCAGAAACAGAGGGAATCCCTGAGATCAGCATCGTGACGAGGCGATGCCAAGCATAGGGATAGGGATAGGGATACGTTTCTGGCTGGTAAAGGGGGGGTGTACAGGATGGTACCGTTATAGTTGACTGGCTGGAAGCATTCGGATCGGCGCCACTTGGTGGCCGCAGCCTTGCTGGCCGAGCCTCCACACATAGCGCACCTCCTCCCACTCTCATCGAGACGGTGGGAGGTAGAGAAGAGAGAGAGAGAGAGAGAGAGAGAGAGAGAGAGAAAGAGATAGAGAGAGATAGAGAGAGAACAAAGAGAGAGAGAGAGAGAGAGAGAGCAGCAGCAGAGGGAGGACGGGGGACGATGGAGGACGATGCTTTTTTTCCCGCAAGTCAGGGTTGGCATCAGCCTCCATAGCGTCGAGCGTCGACCTCAGCAAGCGGAGACGGACCAGTCTCTCTCGCCGCTCATGCAATAAAGCTCGATGTCTCTCGCACTCAGGGAGACGGGCCGCACAAGCTGCAGCACTTGCTAAAACGTCAACAACTGCGTTGCCAGTGACGGCCCACATCGGCGCAGCGCCTGACTGAATCTCAGCTGCGCCGAGGTGGGAGTGGATGAAAAGGACTGTGATACGCTCAGCATTGCGAGCCTCCAAGAGTAGCCCCAACTGAGCCCAAAGATCGGCGTCAGGGCCACTCGGGGACTCGAACCTGCGAGCAAACCAACCTTTGACGACGGGCTCGCAGTCTGTGACATATGTGATATGTTCACTCGAGGCCCAGACTGCAAGCAGAAAACTACTCAGCTCCCCACGCGGGACAGCCTGGCGATCGCCACTGAGTGGGCCACAAATGGACCCTGCCAGGTCCACCTCGGGCTCCAACGATTGAAAAAGAACGACTGCACATCCTACGCGACGAAATTTAGTGCTGGACGTGTCGGGGCCACCGCTGGCGTCGCCAAAGAGGAGTAAGGGTGCCTGTGCTACCACATGCCCTAGGCATCCAGGCCCGAGCTCGAAAGGCCCAGTCGCCGTCCACGCGTCCTCGCAGGCTGGGGGCGGAACCGCCACCTACGAGGTCGGCAGAAGGCCCCTGAGCCAGAAGGCAGCGTCCGCCTCCGACTGAACCGTAGCCTGGCGCACCAGATCCCCAGTCTGCGTGTAGGCCTCCTGGCCAACGTTGTGGCTGCACGTCCGCCCTCGATGTGGTTGTGTCTCGGGCGCGAGCTCACAGCGATGGCGCACATTTGTGCCACAGAATCGTGAAATATAATCCTTCTTGCGCGCGCGTGGACATGTCCCACCAACCGCAACAGGCAACATAACCTCATTGAGCCGGTGGCCAACCAGCGGGACCCCATGTAACTGACGAAGCAGCTCGCGATCATGATCAACATCTGAGCCTTCCTGCAGACCTTTTCCACAGAAAACGAACACTGGCTTGCCTTCAGTGCAGACGCTGAAGGCAGTCTGAAAATCATTGAGAAATCCAGCATGGCTCTCTAAACCCCGCACACCTGTGTACATGGTATCGTCGGACCGCCACTCGTCGCCAGCAAACTCATGATGCTCTGGGATAACCCAGCCCGTGGTTGAGGAAACTGACCAGCCTGCTTCTATCAAATGAAGGATAACTGCTGGAACTGGGCCCCGCACATACTTGGAACGAGGCTGTGCTGGAACTCCCTGGAGTTGCTCAACAACCTATCGCCGAACTCTCGGAATGCCTGTTCTGAGGTCAGGATGGTCTCTCGAAACAGCCAAGTCCATGTCAAGACACTGCGTGGGTAACTTGATGCCTGGATCCTGCTGAGGGGCCCTCAGCGCGAGAAGGGTCGTCTGACGCCGACCCTTCGTCGGCGCCGCGCACGCCGGACCAAGCCTCCGACGCGCCTGGACGAGCCTCTGGCCGAATGCACCGTGCACCTGTAAGCCGTAAACGCCCGCGGCCTGCGCGCCCTGGAGCTCCAGGCGGCTGGTGACTTTGTGCCGATTGGCCGCCTTGGCGAACCTGCCGATCTTGAAACTCACGCCCTCGTGCTCGGCGCCCCGCCTAGCCCGCGCCGCGCGGGCCAAGCGCGCGCCGCAGCTGAGGTCCACCCCGAGGAAGCTCGCCAGCGACTGCGCGGTGATATGGTACCCTGCAAGCCTCGCAGCGCGTGCGACACAGCGGGCGTCGCGGGCATCCGTGCGCATGGGGGATGATGCCCCCCCTTTCCTGGGCCCCCTCGGGATCCTCGGGTTGGTCTTCGCGATCGAGGCGAAGGTTGGGGGCGAAGGCGCGCTCGGTGAGACGCAGGTCGACCGCCTTCGGCAGCTTCGACTGCCCTGAGCTGGGCAACTCCACTACACACCCCCTTCTGGGGAGGAGGTCGCTTTGCATTTGCTGGGAAGCAAGGCGCTGCCGTTGCGCGGGGGCGTCGGCAGGCGGGCCTATCCCTGGCGTCGACGAAGGCCGTGCTAGACCTGATCCGGGTGATTGCAGGTTTTGTGGGCCAGTCGACGCCACCAACGAAGTGGGTTGCACGTCGCCAGCAGCGCGGGCGAGGGAGGGGCAGGCGGGCTGGCTCGCCACCATCGCCCCCGGCGAGCGGCCCCGACATCCTGACGACCATTGAGGGGATGATCCGTCAGGCCGACGAGGCCGCTTTTCAGCCATCACAAGATTCAATTATCCAAGCCGTGGGGGACCTCCTGAAGGCCTGCGACACCCCCCAAGCCACAGCAAGGTCGGGCGGGCCACCCACCGCGCGATCTTCGGGCCCTCAAGCAGCTGCTGCCGCGCGTTCACTCCCTCCAGCTGCGCGCCCTCGTCGGCGACTCTGGACTTCGTCGCGGCAGGGCGCGCCTGCATTCCAGGCCCGTGGCATCAAAGATAAAGCACTGGAACAGCCGGCGGTCTTAGCGTGCCAGACCCGACTGAACCATAATACCAGCGAGCACGTGAGTGGCGGCGGGCGACTAGCTCATCGGTGGCAGTTACTTTCGCGCTTGTTTCTGCTACGGCGGGCGGCGCAGAGTGGCCCGCCGAACCTTCCGCAGAATGGCTCCAGGCACTGGTGGGCGGCCAGCGCGGGCCGCAACAAGTTGGAGCCTGGGTGATATATGATGGAGCGGCGGCCCCGAGGCGAGCCCCGCTTCGCTCGACCGTTAAGGGCGACGCGAGCATGCCCTCGAATCCTGAGACTTCCGAGGCACGGCTTACGATTTCTCAGAAGTTCGTGTCAAATCAAATGCATGGGCGAGCGCGACAAGAAGCTCTTTCGCTCCCAGCACTGGCCTATCCTGAGGTCGAGTGCAAGAAAGTTACCACAGTCAAGGGCGCCTTGGATTACGGCGCGGAGGTCACCTGCGCCATCGCGCCGAAGGCGGGTGACCGCAGTGCTTTCCTGAGCGTGCAGCTGCCCATGGGAGTTTTCTGATCTGAACAAAAGTCACAGCTGGTTCCGAGATACATCTAGATGGGCGACTTGGAAGCCGACTCTGACAACTTCAAACGCGTGAAGACCATGGTGGACAAGGCTACCAACGGCCGCGTGATATACCGCCCCAGCGTCGCAGCCCCCCGGGGCATCGCGGCTCAGAAGTGATGCGCAGCTGCGCACCCGTCAGCAATATCCCCTCAGTGGGCGATCTCACGGGTTTCTGATGGCTGGGCTCGCAAAGGCGACGTTCGCGAATAGTGTATACTGCACGAGGCGTTACTAACATCTTCGCCATCGCCAGACTCGGTCGCAAGAAGTGGGTGTTCCGCGGCGACATCGAAGAGGCATCAGAGAAGTCAGCTTTTCAATCCAGCAGCGGTATTTTGGTGACCATGTCTGCCGCCGTCGACCGTGACAAGCCACGCGAGCAGGGAGAAGGCAAATGGCGAGATGATGCTCCACGACTTCGGTCAGCACGGGGCACCCCTCAGCCCCGGCACCTCCTCCAGACGGCCGCGCAGGATGACAACCCGGCGGGGCAGCAGCTGGGCGGGGCTGAGGCCGAGGCCATGGCTGGGGCGCCCATGCGAGCCGCTGCCCCAGGCGGGGCCGGCGCCCTAAGCAGGCGGAGATCGACGTCGCGCCGTGCAGCGATTTCTTCTCAGAGCAGGACAGTAAGGGCGGTGGCGACTATTTCTACATCAGCGCTGGCTCCGCGCTGCGGGCCACGAGAGGCGAACGCTCCACCTCTCGCGGAAGCCGATCGAGCTCCCCGCGGTCAGGTCCAAGGTCGACTCCGCCAGATGGTCGCAGCCTACGCGGGCCAGAACGCGAAGAATTTTGGCATCGAGCAAGATGCCCAAGCAGCAGTTCGCAAAGGTATCGCGACGGCTGGGAATTCTGCCTCTTCGATGCGCGCGCGGGCGACTGCGCTCGCGACAACTGCTCGGATCATGATATGGGCAAAAGCAGATGGTCGATGGTGCTTGCGCGGCCCGTCGAAAGACGACCAGGAGGGCATGCAGACTACCTTGCGGCTCACTTTGTCAAGTCGTCATTGCCGGCGGCTGGCGTGCAAGAAGCAGCTGGGCCCCATCGCTGAAAAGACTTGGATGGGGGAGGCTGCACCCTAGCCCGCCGACTTCGCAGGCGGCGGCAAGTCGGCCAGCGTCCGTGCCCAGGACAGCAGGCCCACAGACGCCAGCAAGTTGAAAGCAGCGCGCGGGTTCTTTGGCTTATCCCCTACGAGAACCAAGTCCACGTTCGCCAAAGCTTGCTCTTTCTTTGGGCTGTCAGCTCCTTCGAAGGCTGCTAGCTCATGCGATGGCCTGGGCGAGGACAACGAGCTTGGCAGAGCTGTTCTTCGAAAGCCAGGAGACCATTCCACTTGTCCATATTGCGGCTGGAAACCCTCAGCTGACGCGGCCCGCTCGAGACGCGCCGAGGCCCGCCGCCACTGGAAGGCGTGCCGTGGGGGGGCCGAGCTCGCCAAGTGCGACAGGGGGGTGGCGAACCAGGCGGGAGCTCTGGTGCGTCTGCGTGCCGCGCGGCCCGTCATCCGCCACCGGCTGAAGCAGAAGTACGAGAAGTGGCGTGCCGCCAGGGCCCTGAGGACCACCAGGGGCGTTCCGTGACGCACAAGAGCGAGGGCAAGTGCAAGTGCGTGAAGTGCGGCATCTCCAAGACGGCTTCTGCTGCGAAGCGGCGCCCTCAGGGGGGGGGCCGCGCAACTTTGAAACGAAACAGCTGCTCATTGCGGCCCGCGGCTCGAAGGCGGGCAGGGAGCGGTTCGAGAAGATGGCCCAGTCTAGGCCAGAAAATCACCAGAAGTACTTGTCCAACGCGTCGGATGAGAAGAGACAGCAGCGGCGCGCGAAGGACGCGGCCCGCCAGAAGCAGCGCCGCCAGATGACGGGGGCGAACGCGACCGAGGCCTGGCGCAAGAAGTACCCACAGAAGGCGGCGATCATGAGGAAGAGGGTCGCTGCGGCCACGAGGCAGGGGCGGCGGGGCCACCCGGTCGAAACCCGAACTGCTCACAGACAAAAGTACCAGAAGCAGAAGGCCATCGCGAAGGCTGGTCGCCAGAAGTTCCAGGAGATCCAGAGTCGGGTGGCGCGGGCGAAGCCTGAGTGACTATGCTTTGCTCACCGGTCTCTTGGCCCGCTCATGGGCGGGGTTTTACAAGCACATGCACGATTGGGGCCGTCAGTGTCACGGCCGCCACTCGCGCCCGAGCAGAAGAAGTTTTCTTTTTAATTGATCGACTCAGTCTCGATATTATAATGCGGCAAGAGGTTCGTCTCAACGCGGCGCGCACTCGCTGGCTCATCCAGCTCGCGAACAGCTGCGGTTGGGTCATTGCCAGCAGCCCGCCTCCGCCTCCGAATCGATTCGGGCACGGCGGCGCGGTCCAAGGTGGGGTCGCGGTCCTATGGCGGCGCTGCCTCGGCGAGGTCAAAGCTTTGCGACATAAAATTTTGGGTCGCCGTGCTGTGGCCGTCAAGACCACCTTCAACACCGTGATCTCGGCCTGCGGCCCCGTCGGCGGGGACGGCGCGTGCGTCGCCAAAGTTTTGGATTGGGCGCAGACGCTGGGGGGAGGGGGGGGTCGCGATCGCTGGCGATTTGAACTGGTACTCCCGCTACTCGAGCCCCCCCTCGCTGGCGCGGCATCTTGCTGACGCAGGTCTCCCCATTTCCACGGCGGGGGCGAGTTCAAGCAGAGCCCCGCGCTGGACTGCGGGCGCACGTGAGGCCCCGCGCCTCGGCGCTGTCAATTTTGTTCAGGGAGTCCCCCAGCATGGACTGTGTAAGTTTTCGGTGCCCGTCGCGGTACCCAGCAGGCAGCTGGAGCACTGAAGCACACCGCGGGCTTTGTGCCCGACCGCCTGGCTTTCGGCAATGAGCCCGAGATGGACGAGATCAGGGTCCAGCTCGATGGCTCGCACCCGTGCGCTGCATCGTCGGCGTCTGTGGAAGAGAAGTGGAATGCTTGGCACCGCCGCGCCGAGGCTGGCCTGCGGCTCGCTGCCGACAGGCACTGGGCCATCGAAGAGCGGAAAGTTGAGCGCCCCAAAGGCTCGGCACCAGAGTCTCGGCCTACGACGCCACCTGCCTCGCGCCAGCTCAGCGAGACGATCGGCACGAGAAGGTTGCAGCGTCTTTTTCGAAGTTGCGATGAGCAAGCTAAACATCACGCCCGAGTGTTCGATGCTATCGACGTTCGCCATGTGGAGACTTTCGCTCAGCTTTGGATGGGCGACCTGTGCAAGCATGCGAACTGCTGGCCAACGCACGGCCATGTCTTGGAGTCTCGTTCTCAAGCCATCACCAAAGAAGCCCAGGCGATCTCGCAGGAGCGCCGGCGTCACTGGGCATCCAAGTTTGCAAAGTGGAAATCAGATCTGCGGGGCGTTGCTACACCGAGCTTCAAACAAGCAGCCCCTGCACCTGGCTTCGATGCTAAAGGTGTGCGTGAGGAGTAGGAGGCGGTCTGGGCGCCGCCTGAGTATTCTTCCCAGCCGCTGGCCTCGCGCTGGCACGAGTGGGCCAAGGACGTCGGCCTCCCCAAGTCGGCCATGTCCGCCGACTGGGCGCCGTCCAAGCAGTGCTTCCTCCTGGCCGTCGCCTCCTGCCCGCGGCGCTGCCGGCGTGGGCGGGCGGTCCGGGGCCGAGCTCCAACTTATCAGAAAAACGCTGCCGTTCCTGCTCGACGACTTGTACAAGGTTCGGACGGCGACAACTCGACTGGCCGTGCAGTGCGGTGAGCATCTACCTCAGAGCGTGGCCGAGGCTGTGTTCCCATGGAGAGTCGTGGGGATCCCGAAGAAGGGTGAGAACGAGTCGCGGCCGAACAGTGTAGCATCTTGTCTTCTACGAGCGCGGCTTACTGCAATGGCGTCTTCTCCCCCGCAGCCTTGTGATTTGCAGTTCGCGTGTAAATTGGCGTCGCCGTCGTCCACGCCGTCTCCGCGCGGCTGGCAGACGAAGCGTTGTTCGGAATGGAACTGGATTTATCTAAGGCACATGATAATGTGGATCACGGTGTGGCAGCGGCGGCGCTGGCGGCGCAAGGCGTGCCAGACTCAGTTGTCAGCGATTGTCTTGCTGCTTGGCGTGGCCCCAGGTCCTGCAAAGTGAGCTCGGAGATCGCGCCAGTACGTGGGCTCCCTCAAGGAGATGGTGTTGCTCCAGGCGCCATGGTGGCGTGTCTGGTGCCCTGGAAGTGCGCGCCAGCTTCGGGGTGGGCATTTATGGGCGATCACGGCTCGATCCCAGCACGTCTTCTCCACGGGCTCGGCGGCGACGGCGCGCTTCGACGCCGACGTGGGCTTCAAGGAGAACGAGAGCAAGCGCCAGTACTGGTCAGTATTGCAAGATACCAACCCCCATCCGCCCTCGGGGCGGCTGGGCCAAGCTCGAGAAGGGCATTGCCTTCCTGAAAAGCTGTCCTGGCGCCGCTCGGTTTCGTGAAGTCCTCGCGGGAGCCTGCCCGAAGCCGCTCTGGCTGTGGGCCGTACCTCTTGTGCAACCCGTTCTGCGAGTATGGTTTGGGCTTTTGTTCCGAGCTTTCCTGAGATCGATGTGTACGTGGTGGTGTGCTGGTCGTTGGCGGTGCCGACGTGTGAGCCTCCGCCCGCTGTGCTCTCCTGCGCTTCAAGCCATGCGCACGGTGCTGTCGACGCTCCTTATTCCAAGCCTGCACTCACCCAGCGCCTTGGCAGCGCGTTCTGATTTACTGGGTCCGGCCGGAGTATGTCTCTCACAACGCCGACTGGGGCATTCAGCCCCGAGTCGATGCTCATGGTGACCCACGGGTGCGAGTTGCTACACATCGGCTCCGAAATGAGTCGCAGGCTTTCTGGACGAAGTCGCCCGAAGCTCAACGCGCAGTTCTTTCCGCTGCTCGGGTCAGGTGTTTGCAGCAGATCAACTCCTCAGGTTCGCGGGCCAGGACTGATTCTGCAGGAGTTGACGACATCGATGTGGAGGCCGGCAGTTCGAAGCGCTGCTGAGAGTTCGTGAGCTCGCTGAACACGGAGCAGCACCACCTTCTCGACATTTTCATGGCAGGAGCTGGCCAGTCGCGCACGCGTAAGTGCGGCGTGCCCCAGTGTTCACGATGTTGCAAGTTTTCTGATTATCCTGTGCCTAATCTCCGACACCTCTGGCAGTAATGCCCGCGCCTCAGTGCTCGCCGCAATGACCTGGGGCGAGAATTTGCATTACCAGCCTCCTTCTGGGACGACCAGCCTCGGGTCACCAGCAAGAGCGGTTGGATCGCCAGGCGGGCGGCGGCGACGCTGGCCCAGCGAGTCAAGATGCAGATCGCGGCTGCCTCGTTGGGCATCGAGGCCCCCCAGGTCAACTTTGAGCCCTGACCTCCGCCCAGCAGGTGGAGGTCTTGCCGAGGCTTACTCCAGAGTTCGGGCATGTCTCCCTCCCCCCCCCCCCCCCCTCTTCATCCGTGCGCATGACCACCGACTTTGGAGACGCTCGAAGCATGCTCTCCTCTAAGGACCTGCACACGTCCAGAATACATGCTTTCAGACTCCGACGAATGTGGGCACGAGAACCTCCCGACCTGCTGCGACAAATCGCGGAGCCACACCCGATGGCTCACCAGGGGGTGGCCTTCAACCACCCACTTCAGTACAAAGTGCGCGAGCGTCCTGCCGAAACGCGTGCCCGACCGCGGCCCTTGGGCGATGCTGCGAGCGGGCTGGAACGGGGCCGAGTTGCCCCCCAGCTGACTGCGAACCCTCAGCGGCGCACATTGGAGGAGCTCCGTGTATAAAATACTTGGGGGGGAACTGCATTTCCAATGCTGCTTCAACTAGGTGCGGCCACCCGATCGCGTCGCAGAATCTCTCGGTGCCGACGAGGCCGTGACCGACACTCGCATGGAGATACATGCACACCTCGTCCTGCACAGCACGAAGATATGCTTGAGGAGCATGGGAATTACCACATGCAGCTGCATCCCACCGCTCCACGGTGCCCGCTGTCCACTCTCGCACGGATGGCTCTCTGATCAATGACAATAAACGGCCGAGGAGCGGTGCCAGACCGATGATCCGATCCCCTTGAGTTCTCCTGGGAGGCATCCTCCCCAAGATGAGCAATAGCTGAGCTGGCCAACATAGACACTCCCAGCATGCCGTGAACACCAAAGTCAATTCAGCTAGCCCGACATCTGGTTGTCGCTCAAGATCCACTGGGGACAGAAAGTCGACCCCTACTCCTGTGGACGCCTTCATGCGCTGTACACTGTGATGGGAGGACGGGGGTCTACCTCCACCGCGGCTTCCACCTTCCGAAAGACTCTGATCATTCGGTCCTCATCCAACGGCTCGGGAGACCACTTGTCGTGCCACTTGGCCGACTTCGCATCAATGGTTTGCGAGGATGGCGCAGTGCCTGACCCTGGTGCTCATGCTCCATACCGACCAAGGGTGTAGGGCACACGGGTTTGTGAATCATGCCCAGCGACGCCTCGTCTGGCACAGAATCTTGAAATTCACTACGGGGCTGTTGGACAGCTCGGCGTTGGGCCCTACTGCTGATCCGCTTCGAGCCCTGCACTAAGCCATCCAACCTGTAAGTCGTGCGCTCGCCAATGTTGGTAAGAGCAGTCATCCACTCATGCCACTCCCAATCTTTGCCTGGAAGTAAAACAGCGCGGGCACGCTCGGGGCAGGTGTCGAGGTGTCGCTTCACCGAGCCCAGGTTTCCTGACTGCTGAACCGCTCCGTCGCCTTTGCGACGATGGTGGGCCAGCGCGCACAGTAGTGTGTTGAGCTGGGTCCACCAGCAACTGGGCTTATCCCTCGGCGGTGAGGCTCGGCTCTTGGCAGGCATCCGCAGCTCCTGCACGGCGAAGTGTGCTCCAGCCGATCTCGAAGGTCTTGCTGGCAACGAGACATCATGGCGACTGGTGATCGTGGATTCGACAGCCGACGCCTAGCTGGAGCAGAGGCCTGCAATTAGACTGTTCTGAACAGGTTTGGGCCGAACGGCCTCGGGGGAGCGCGTGGCAGAGCAAAGAGGGCCAAGAGAAGGAGAGCCAGACATAAAGCCTACATCTTCCCGAGCCCGCTTCCACGTGG